TAACTGTGTAACGGTAATTCTTTTTCTGGATATTTCGAAACATCCTCTTTAGCTTCAATGTTGTAAAGTTTTTTTCGTCCTTTCACACACCGTTTTGGCTTCCCAAAATATCAGAAAAATAAGAAACTTATATACTTGGCTATAATTAGCCAGAAAAATACTTCGAAAAATGTAGAACCAAATTTTTAATGGGTCATACGAAAACCGTTCGAACTGTGGCCTGGAACTGCGACGGAAGAAAACTTGCCAGTGGATCTGTCGATAAGACCGTACGTCTTTGGGAAGCCGATCAGGTAATTAAATTATTTTGACGCACATACGAAATGATTTTTGTATTGTATATGTTATGACTCAGAAATTCTTGTTAAACTTTGTTATTCTTTAGGAAGATATAAAATATTCTGTAAAACTACTTGGTCATGACGAAAGTGTCGATCAATTGTGCTGGAATCCGAAATCTCCATACGAATTAGCCACTGCGTCTACTGATAAAACCGTTAGATTTTGGGATACGAGAGGTTAGTCAATTCGATCGTATTATTATCTATTATTATCTATTATTATCTATTATTATATATTGAGATTATACATCAATTAAATTTTCGTTGTTGTTTTATAGACGCCAAAAGGTGTACACATATCGTTTCAACTGATGGTGAAAATATAAATATTAGTTGGAGCTGGAATGGTGAAATGGTCGCCGTAGGTGATAAGGTTTGTCGCGAAATCACTAAATATGTTTACTATATTGTCACTTTAGGCTTGTTTCTTAAAAGTGAATGTCTGAATTTATTAAGGTTTATTAATAGGACGATAAGATATCATTTATTGATCCAAGAAAATTACCTGAGCCAGCTATCGTAAATACATATGCGGAGGTTGATGATATCAGAGACGAGGTAGTAGGTTCGCCATATAAATCTATCAGAAATTGTATTGATAACATGTTTAAAAGTCTCATTATTCAATAATTCAATAGATCAATGAAATAAGCTGGAATCATGATTGTTCAATGTTCTTTTTAACAACTGGCTCTGGCGCAATTAAGATACTTGAATGGCCATCCTTAGATCCTGTACAAGTTTTAAGGGGACATACTGCTAATTGCTATTGCATAGATTTTGATCCTAAGCAACGGTAGGAACGAGTTTTTTCTTTCAAAAAAAAAATTAAACGAGATGTGTATTCCATTTTTCGTTTTTACAGATATGTTGCGGCAGGTGGTGCAGACGCCACTGTGACTTTATGGGACATACAAAACGGGGTTTGTCTAAGAACATTTAAAGAACTACAGTGAGTAATTTATTACATTTTATGATTTCAAACAATATCTTATTAATTGAATCGTTTTGGGATAATTTGCGAATTGTTAATTTGATCTTGTAGATATCCCGTAAGAACCATAAGTTTTACACATGATGGTGTTTATCTAGCAGCCGCTTCTGAGGATGAACATATCATCGTGGTATGTATTTATTATTCAAACATTGATCCTATTTCTACAATATATATATATATATATATATTTAATCATTTTGTAACTTGTTAGTCAAATGTACAGTCTGGTAAGACGGTATTTAAAATCAAGACTAAGGCTGCTACTAATTCTGTCGCTTGGCATCCGAAGGGGTATCTGTTAGCATTTGCGGGTGATGAAGAAACACCCATTGAAAAGCAATATGTCGGGTTGAAAGTATTTGGGTTCAACGATTAACATTTTTCTTTTTCTTTATGAGTGCCTAATATATGTGAATCATTAATGTGCATAATATTCTCTTTTTCTTTTATAAGTACCTAATTATATGTGAATCATTAATGTGCATAATATTCTATTTTTATTTTTAACGTCTCTAATAAACGCTGTCAATGAATATAATAGAAAAAAATGATTATGCTCAATGAACATTTGTAAACAAAAATTGATTGTGCTAGGAATCTTTATTATATGGAATAAATATAATATGTCCTTTTATTCGTAGCATTTTTGTTATTGAAAATGTGAGCTTAATGGCTGCTAGATGCCTTTTTAGAAACATCAGTGACCGTAAGACCTACAACCGCAAAATAATTAAGCATATTAATTAAGCATCAAGCATTAATGAGAAAAAATAAATCATAAATACCGGGTGGAAGTGACTTGTGAAGTTTTTCGGCCTTGTCTGCATCATCGATTACAAAGGTATAAAGGTACCTAGAACATCGAAGCTTAAATTTCACTTTTGATGTACCGTTCTTCTTCTTAATACGAACAGCTACATTAAAAATTTAGTTGATATTTACAAGATTTAGCAGAAAAAAATGCAAAAGAATTTTAAAATTTATTAATTACATTTGGCATCTTTTCTACGAGCGATTTCGAGAAAATATTTAATATCACTGATCTGTTTCGGCTATAGTATAAAAATAAACGGAAAAAATTTTTTTCCTTATTTTAGTATTACTATTCCATGTTTCGAATTTCTAACTCATCTTTAGATCTAATATCATCAAAAGAGTATCTATACTACGATCCAAATATCGTCTATCCTTGACAATGAAACTATTAAAAAGTGGATGGCTCACCATCGTGTTCGTAGAATGCCAATTTGTACGAAGGAAGAATCCTGTTTAATGATTTTTTATCTATATATAATAATTTGAAATGTAACACCATCTTGTGTAAATCAGGTTCTCGTTTACGATTGGTCATTGTATATTAACATGCGGACTATCAAACTATGAAATTAATACTGGCCAAACTTTTGCAATGCCCAGCACTTCATGAAATCTAATTACGGAAACTTACGTAAATGGTAAATGTTATGTATTTTTAATTCACCACCTAGTTATTGATTAGGTTATACGCATGCTCCGCTTTGCTCCGAATATTCGTATTTGAATTTTATACGTCGTAATTTTCATACGTAATATAAACCCTACAGTTATTTAAAATACTTTTTTGAGAAGAAAAGATATTGATCTTAGCGTTAGAGATAAAAATCACGTAATTCCGCCGCTATGTACGTACATCGGCATGCCTATTGAGGAAAAATGATCAATTACTATGTCAAACGGCTATCGTTACATAAATATGTGCCTTAAAAGTTATAGAGTCGAACATTTGCGTTATTGCATCATCCCATGTTCATACAAGTTCGTTATTATACCAAATAAATTAAAATATGAATCAAAGCCGAAAAAAACTTTACAACATTGAAGCTAAAGAGGATGTTTCGAAATATCCAGAAAAAGAATTACCGTTACACAGTTA